TTTAAATTACAGTTGAAACTCATTGTTATTTTATATTTGTTTCAAGTGTATAGCATGGTGAAATTTATATATTTTATTAAGTGACTCCCCTGCTAAGTCTAGTACCCACCTGGCACCATACAAAATTATTACAATATTACTGACTATGTTTACTCCCTATGTTCTACTTTACATCCTCATGGCTGTTTTTGTAACTATGAATTTGTATTTCTTAATACCTTCACCTTTTTTATCCAGGCCCAAACCCCTCCCAATCTGGCAACCATGAATTTGTTCTCTGTATCCATGAGTCTGCTTCTGTTTGGTTTGTTCATTTATTTTATTTTTCAGATTACACATAAAAGTAAAATGGTATGGTGTTTGTCTTTCTCTGTCTGACTTCACTTAGCAAAATACCCTCTAGGTCCATCTATGTTGTCACAAATGATAAGATTTCATTTTTTATGGCTGAATAATATTCCATTTATATATGTATGACAATGTATGACATCTTCTTTACCCAATCTTCTATCAATGGTCATTCAGGTTGCTTCCATATCTTGGCTATTGTAAATAATGCTGCAAATGAACACAGTGGGGCAAGTATCTTTTTAAATTAGTGTTTTGGATTTCTTTGGATAAATACCCAGGAGTGTAACTGCTGGGTCACAAGAGGGTTCCATTTTTAATTTTTTGATGAACCCCTACACTGTTTTCCATAGTGGCTGCACCAGTATGCAATCCACCCACAGTATATAGGGTTCCCTTTTCTCCATATCCTCATCAACACTTGTTTACTAATGGATGATATCCATTCTGACAGGTGTGAGTTAATATCTAATTGTATTTTTAATTTGCATTTCTCTGATGATTAGTGACTTTGCGCATCTTTTCATGTCTATTGGCCACATGTATGTCCTCTTTGTAGTCTGCTTCTGTTTGGTTTGTCTCCTGTTTGCTTTGGAGAAATGTCTATTCAGGTCTTCTGCCCATTTTTAATTGAATTGTTTGGGTTCTATTTTTTATGTAAAGTTGAATAAATTCTTTATAAACTTCAGATATTAATCACTTAGTAGATGTATAATCAACTAATATTTCTCCCATTCAGTAGGTTTTCTTATTTTTTATGGCTTCCTTTGTTGTGCAAATCTTTTAGTTCTGATGTAGTCCATGCTTATATTCTCTCCTATTTCCTTTTCCTGAGGAGACATATCAAAAAAAATTTACTAAGAGCACGTCAGAGAATTTACTGCCTTTGCTTCCTTTTAAAAGTTTTACAGTTTAAGCTCTTACATTTAAGTCTTTAATCCATTTTGAGTTTATTCTTGTACATGGTGTAAGATGGTAGTCTAGGTGCATTTTTTGCATGTGTATGTCCAGTTCTGCCAACATCTATTATTGAAGAGACTGTCTTTACCCCGTTGTATATTTTTGCCTTCTTTGTCATATATTAATTGACCACTTAGGCATGGATTTATTTCTGGGCTCTATATTCTGTTCCACTGATCTATGTGACTATTTTTATGCCAGTACATGATGTTTTCATTACTACAGCCTTGTAGTACAGTTTGGTATCAGCTAGCATGATACCTTAAACTTTGCTCTTCTTTCTCATCAACCTTGATATAAATTGCTTTGGGTAGTATGGACATTTTAACAATGTTAATTCTTACTATACATGAGCATGGTATATGCTTCCATTTAGTTTTATCTTCTTTAACTTCTTTCCTCATTGTCTTATAATTTTATGAGTACAGGTCTTTGACATCCTTGGTTACATTTATATCTAGATATTTTTGATGCAATGTAAATGAGATTGTTTTCTTAATTTCTCTTTCTAATAAGTTATTAGTGTATAAAATTCCCAACCATTTTCTGAATATTAATTTAGTATTCTACTACTTTACTGAATTAATTTATCAGTTATAATAGTTTTTTGGTGGGAACTTTAGTATTCTCTCTGTTTAGTACCATGTTAGGTACTAATAATGACACGTTTACTTTCCTCTTTCCAATTTGGATGTGTTTTATTTTATTTTTTCTTGTATGATTGCCATGGCTAGAATTTCCAGTGCTATTATGAATAAAAGTGGTGAAAGTAGACATCCTTGTCTTTTTCCTGATCTTAAGGGAAACAGTTTTAGTTTTCCTTACTGAGTATGATGTTAGCTGTGGGCTTGTTTTATATGGTCTTTATTATGCTGAAGTATGTTCCCACTATTCCCACTTTGCTGAAAATTTTTATTTTAAATGGATGCTATAAAATGATGTCCAATCTTTTTATGCATTGATAGGATCATATGATTTTTATCCTTTATTTTATTTATGTGGTATATCAATTCATTGATTTGAAAATATTCAACCAACACGGCATCTCAGGAATAAATCCTAATTGATCATAGTATATAATCTTTTTAAAACATTGCTGGATTCAGTTTGCTAATATTTGTTTGAGAATTTTTGCATTTATTTTCATAAGGAATATTGGCCTGTAATTTTCTTTTTTGGCAATATCTTTGTCTAGTGTTGGATCTGGGCAGCCTCATAAAATAAGCTTGAAAGCCTTCTCTGCTCTTGAATTTTTTGGACTAGTTTGTGAAAAATAGGTGTTCATTCTTCTTTGAATTTTGGTAAAATTCACCTGTGAAGCCAACCTGTCCTGGACTTTTGTTTTATGGGAGTTTTTGATTACTAATTTAATTTCCTTGATTGTAATCAGTCTGTAATCTGTTGAGATTTTCTGTTGTTTTTTTTTAATTTAATTTTTTAAATTTGTATTGTACTTTTTCTTCTTAATTCAATTTTGGAGGATTGTATGTGTCTAGGAATTAATGCATTTCTTCTAGATTGACCAGTTGGTTGGCATATAATAGTTTGTAGTATTTTGTTATAACCTTTTGCATTTCCATGGTTTCAGTGGTCATTTCTCCTCTTTCATTTCTGTTTTAACTTATTTGGGCTCATTTTCTCTCTCTCTCTCTCTCTTTCTTGATGAGTCTGCTTATGCTTAAAGGTTGATCAATCTTGTTTATCTTTTCAAAAAAACAGCTCATGGTTTCTCTGATCTTTTGTATTGTTTTTCAGACTCTATTTTATTTATTTCTATTTTGATCTATATTATTTCTTTCCTTCTACTCGCTTTATCTTTATTTGTTGTTCTTTTTCTCATTCTATTAGGTGTAAGGGCAGATTGCTTACTTAAAATTTTTACTGCTTCTTAAGGTTGGCCTGTATTATTATGAATTTCCCTCTTAGCACTGCTTTCCTGTGTCCCATAGATTTTTGGGTTGCTGTGTTCCTATTTTTGTCAGTGAATGAATGACATTTATACCTAGGCAAAGAATCCAGGGTGGTAACCCTGTTTTTGCTATAATCATTAAGGTTTCTACTGAGAGAAGATCACAATACTTGGCTAGACTTAACACTGATCACCCCAATTTCATATACATTTGGGTGGCAGGTACTGTGGTGGAGAAGGCCTGCTTCAACCCCAGTACATGGTCTTCCATTCAGATGCTCTTGGGATTCCCACAGCTTACTCACATGTTTTGAAACAGACCTGGAAGATAGTAGCATCTGGATGGCAACAGATCACTTTCATACAGAAAGGCTGAATCAAATGCTTAGTGGGTATTTTGGCTATTTTCTAATCTCTAAACAAGCTAGGTGGTTGATAGTCTATGGCCACTGTTGGCCCTTTGAGCCCTCAAAGTCCCTCCTTTGCAGTTTGAAGTTTGAATCTCGGTGTGTGGCATCACCTTGAACCTTTACCATTCCTGCCCATCACTAGCCAGAGTGATGTCTTCTGAAGTATAAGTTTTGTTCTGGTTGAGAAAGATGATCAAGGCAGGTCTGTGAGGAGTAGAATAAGTTTCCTCCCTGAACAAAGCTGCTTTAAGGATTCTGGCTTCTTAGGATCCCTGGGGTTTCAGATTCTCTTCCATATACCCTGGTTGTGTGGAGAGGGCAGCTGATCTCAGAGAGTACTGATAATGAGAGAACCTGAGAGAACCTGAGGGAAGAGCGGCAAGGGAAGAGCCAGCAGGCTGTGGTAAAGATGGGGATACTGGCTCTAAGCTCAGAGGGGAAATGGGCACTGTACGAACCTTCCACTGAAGGACTAACTGCAGGTCCGAGAGCGTGGCTGGGTGATCCTTCAACAAAGCCCCTGTAATTCACCTTTGAAGGGTTTCTCTTTACCTGTCCTTGCCACTTGACTTTACAGAGCCTGGACCATCCTGTCTGACCACAATGCTACTACCACGTTAGTATTTCTCACCAAGAGTACTTAAGTATTTCTCAAATATGTTTTTTAGCTTTACCGTGTGCAGGGCCCTGTCATGCTCTTGAAACCAGCTGATTAATAGTTACTCTTTGTCACTCTTACCTTTTTATTAACTGATGCTAGTTTACTGTTATTTTTATATACTGCAATCATATCCCTTGACCCAACCAAGAAAATTATAAAGCTGAAGAATAAAAGAACAAAATAGAAGAGCTGGGAGAACAGGTTGGATTAGTCACAAAATGAATTGGCAGACAGGTGGAAAGAAGTCTCCTGAGTGACCTCTGAAAACCTACAACACAGTGGTCCACAGAAGGGTTGGCAAACGATGGCCCAGGCACGAAGTCTGACCCATTGCCTGTTTCTGTAAATAGAGTTTTATTGGCACACAGCCACACTCATCTGTGTATATATTGTCTGCTTTAGTGCTACATGGGCCGATTTGAGTAGTTGTGACAGAGAACCTCTAAAGCCAAAAATATTTACTACCTGGTCCTTTATTAGAAAAAGTCTGCTCATGCCTGGTCTAGAGATAAAGATATTAGAAGTTCTTTGATTCTGATAGAAAAATTCTAAATTCTGATTTGGCAGTGTTACTATAGCATAGAGCCCATATATCATACGTGTTATTTCTCAAAGACTTGCTGCTGAGGCATACAGGCAATTATTAGCCAGTTTTCAGAGGTAAGGATATGGTCACCATTAACTCAGAAATTCTGTTTCATTCTTATTCTAGAAACTGGGTGGTGAAAAATCAGCATGAAGTTTGCAAGTTTGTTTTTTTTTCTGCTTATCATTTTTCAAACTGATTTTGGACAAAATGATGAAGCTTCTAGGAAGCAAAGGAAGATGTATTATAGAAGACTGAAGAAAAGTTCATCTCTCCACAGATCCAGGAGACAGCTTAGAATTCAGCAAATAATGATGGTGCAACCAGCAGAAAAACTTCCCATGGTTAACTTGGATTATAGCACAGAGGAGAAGTTTGAATCCTTTTCAAGTGTCGTTGGTGTAGAATCAAGCTATAATATACTACCAGGTAAGAAAACAGTACTTGAGAGAAGGGGGAGGGAAAGAAACTCTATAAAGATAATTTTTTAAAAATTCAACTTATCTTTTGGCTTAATCTAGGAAGATGAATTTTCAATTAATTTTAAAAAATCATTTATAACATGTACTTATAAAATTATTGGAAAAGACTAATTATCCTACAACTACACTTATAAAACCATAGTTACTATTTTGTTTATTTCTAGCTTGTTTAGTATACCATGTATTTTAAATAGTTGTAACCATAACATAGAAAATATACACATAAACTTGTAAACTGCTCTTTCACTTGTAATGGTATGTCACCTACAATATAGAAATAAATTATTCAGATGATTCTATGAACCCCTGGCTATTAAATATTTTCAATAAAAATTTTTCAACAAAAATGGAGTTAAAACTATTTTATTTTATATAGACTAAATTACTAAATTTTTAACAGTTGAAAAGATTGAAAATTCTGCCAAATATTTCAACTAGGCATTTTTAAGAACTAGTATTTAATGGTCCACATTTTGCAGATTTGGAAGAAAAAAGCAGTTATACATATGTTTCCATTACATAAAACTTTCAGAAGACCAAAAAAGTATCACATTATATTCTGTGGCCAATACATCATATATTGTCTTTAGAAAACCAATGTTCTACATGATGGTATTTCCATAAAGTTAGGAAAATAACATAAATTTCCCATGCAAATATACAACTTAGATCACACTTAGAGCATGATTGGGAGAAAAGTCAGAGGCAGGGAAATCTACTAAGAAGATATGATAACACTATATCCACAACTGCTAAAGAATAATGAGTTCAATTTTCCTAGTTATTTGGAAGAATATCCAAGCTATAATAGAAAACACAAAGGTTGAAAAGTAGTGTGCATAATGTGATCTCAAGTATGTTTAAAAATATGTAATATAGGGAAGTATGAATGAAAATGTATAGCTGTATACTAAACATTTCTCAGTTGTCTTAAAATGTTTTCCAGTGGTCTTATAGCACTTTTTAAAAAACTGTAATAAAATATACTTAACATAAAACTTACCATTTAACATTATAAAGTATACAAGCCGTGGCTCGTATGTCTCAATGGATTGAGTGCCAGCCTGCAAAACAAAGGGTCACTGGCTTGATTAACCCGGTCAGGGCACATGCCTGGACTGTGGGTCAGGTCCCCAGTAGGGAGTGCATGAGAGGCAACCACACACTGATGTTTCTCTCCCTCTCTTTCTACCTTCTTTCTCCCTGTCTAAAAATAAATGAAGTCTTTAAAAAATAATGTTATAAAGTATACAATTCAGTGGCATTTAGTATACTCACTATGTTGTATAACAAATATTACTTACCTAGTTCCTAAACAGTTTCTTCACCCCAAAAGGAAACTCCATACATAGTAAGAAGTCACTCCCCATTTCTCCCTAGCCCCATCCCCTGGCAACTACTGATCTGTCTCTAATAGGTCTATTCTGGATACGTCATATAATATATAGCCTTTCGTGTCTGGCTTCTGTCACTTAGTATAAATATTTCAAGATTCATCCACGCTGTAGCATGATGACAGCACTTCATCTATTTTTATGGCTGAATAATATTCTATTACATAGATATACCACATTTGTTTATCCATTCATCTGTTGATGGACATTTGTGTTGTTTCTGACTTTTGGCTACTGTACACAGCACAACCATGAACACTTGTGAACAGGTTTCAATTTGAACTTCTGCTTTCAATTTTCTTGGGCATCTACTTAGATATGGAATATGGGGTACTTAGGAGCTGGACCATATGGTAATTTTATTTATTGAGGAACCCCCAAATGTTTTCTACAAGGTGATAGAGACCATTTTACATACCCAACAGCAATGTTCAAAGACTCCAATTTCTCTGTATCCTTGTCAACATTTGTTATTTTCCATTTTAAAATACAGCCATTCTTGTGAATGTGAAGTGGTATTTCAATGGATATTTCCCTAATGCCTAATGATGTTGAACATCTTTTTATGTGTTTATTTCCCATTGTATATAATCTTCTGAGAAATGTCTACTCAAGTTCTTTGCCCATTTTTTAATTGGGTTGTTTGTCTTTCTGTTGTTAAGTTATAAGAGTTTTTTATGTATACTGTGGCTATTAGGCCTTTATCAGATATGATTTGCAAATATTTCTTCCATTGTGTATACTGTCCTTTCACTTTCTTCACAATATTCTTGGATGCATCAAAATTTTAATTTTGATAAAATCCAATTTTTTTTTTGTTGCATGGGCTTTTGGAGTCATATCTAAAAATCCAAGGTCATGAAGATTTACATCTATGTGTTCTTCTATGAGTGTTATAGTTTTACCTCTTATATTTATGTTTTTGATCCACTTTGAGTTTAATTCTTATATTTGGTATAATGTAGGAGACAACTTCTTTCTTCTGCCTGTGGACATCCAGTTGTCCTTCACCATTTGTTGAAGAGACTATTTTTCCCCCTATTGAATTTCTCTTCACACTCTCGTCAAAAATCATTTGGCCATAGGTATGGGTTTATTTTTGGACTCTTGATATTCCATTAGTCTATGTGCTTTCCCTTAAGCCACGCTGCCACAAGCTGATTATTGCAGCTTTGTAGTAATTTTTGAAATCTCTAAGTGTGAGTGCTTTAATTTTGTTCTTTTTTCAAGAATTTTTGGCTTTTCCAGGGCCCCTTGTAATTCCATATGAATTTAAGGACCAACTTTCCATTTCTGCAAAAAAAAGGCTGTTGGAAATTTGATAGAATCTAGTACCTTTATAATCAGGAAAAAACTTATGTGAATCTATTTTTTTCCATGGGAGGAATTTGGTGGGTGGTATTAGTCTACTGAAAGCATCCAAATGAGAGCTGGGTAGGACTGGAATTGGACTGACACAGTGGTGATGGAAAGGACAGGACAAATGTGAGAGCTTGCTTGGAGGTGTAATTTGGGGACAATAGCTCATTAGGTGAAGAGTTAACAGAAATAATGCTAGGGTCAGAAGAAAAATTTTCCCTCTTATATTCAAATCAGCTGACTAATGGCCTGCTTAGCTGACATACTTATCCACATATCTGCTGTTGTATAACTTGGCCATCTGACAAGTATAGGATGAAAGTGAAATTCACGGTTAAGTTATCATGAGGAGGTCACTACAGAACCTAAGTGAGAGAGGTTGAGAGCAGTGTATGTGAAAGTATTTCAGAGGGGTACATTGATAAGATACTTTTACCCTAAGCACGAATGCACACAGAATGCTATTCTTGTGTGGTTCTAACGGTTTGACTTCACATTGTGTTCCCATCCATTCATAGGTGCTGGTAACCAGTCTCAGAACTTAAATGTCCTATGTTCTCTCCTAGGAAAGAAGGGACACTGTTTGGTAAATGGGATGACCATGTACAACAGCGCTGCATGGTCTCCTGAGCCCTGCACTACCTGCCTCTGTTCAAATGGAAGAGTGCTTTGTGATAAAACCATGTGCCATCCTCAGAGGTGTCCCAAAACAGTTACACCTGAAGGAGAATGCTGCCCAGTCTGCTCTGAAACCGGTATAAATATTTAACCAAAACAAAATATCACATGTAATTTAGTCCTTAAGTTCCACTTGTTTTTATTTTGTTAATTACCTTAAGTTTTAAATTATGATAAATTAGTCATCAGAGTACTTAAAATATTTGCACAACTATGGTAAAAATAGAAGTTACTGGGGAAAACATATGGTAGGGAACAGAAATAAAAGATCTTGGCGCTATAGTTGTAGCTCTAGCAGAATGAGTAAACCTGGATCAGATCCCATTCCGCATTTGACTCTCAGCTTTAGGAATGCAGTGACAGAATTTACATAGGCAATAGTTCCTGAGTTGTAAGTTTGCATAAGCAGCTCTGCTTCGTTCCTTAAAAGCATTATCTCACTAATCCAACTGAGTGTGGGTACAATTATCTAAACAAAGATGAAGAATTCAGAGTGAACAAAGAGAGGAATGGTTTGCATCTAAAAAAATAAATCCCAACTTTCCAGTCTATTTGGAGCAGTGGCTTTCTCATGGCACTGCTGTTAACAGGAAAATCATGCTATGAGATTTTGTTGGCTACTCACTGTCCCCTTATCCTATGAGGCTCATACCTCATGGAATAGAGAATCCTTAGGATAGAGACTCAGGTCTCCTCCAAGAAAAGCCTACCCCGTCCCTTATGAAATAAATACATAAAAGTTAAATAATTTATAGGAAGAGATTGGATGTTTTTTCTTGTCTGTTATCAAGGATGATCACAGGGTCAGTATCTACAAGGGTCTCCTGTTAGGAAGAACTTTAGAATATTTAGGAATTTTTTTTGGTGGATAGTACCAATTATTTTACTAAAGAATTATGACTTTTAAAGTGTTAGAAAATAAAAGTGTTTAATAAAACTGACTCCTGGGGGGTGGGGAACCACTAGGTTTATAAATGAAAGATTCAACAATTCTGAAACATTTTTTAAAGGACTGGAATTATTCTTAAAATGCTGTGGTTATTTTGAAAAATAAACTTGGACATATAGGAAGTATTTTAAATGTTTCAGTATGATAGTTTAATTTACTTCTGCTAATTTTTCCCTATTCTTTTGTATTTTCTGCCAGAGATGTGAAAAAAAAAATAACTGAAAGACTTTATAATATATACTGGATTGAAATCTCAAGTAATCCTTCAAATAATTATATTTTCTGAGTTCTTTGTGGATGATTTATATATAGTATTAAATAAAAGCAAGGAGATAGGTGAGTCTGAAGTATGGTCTTAGTCCCATCTTCCCCACTTTAGCCAAAGTATCAACAGCTAAATACAAATGTAGATGAAATGTAGTGTTAGGCAAAAGTAGGTTTACATTATTCATATGGAAAAAGACAAATAACACAAATAAGTACTACAATAATTAATAAATAAATAATACAACTCACGACTGTAAACCTACTTTTCCCTGCCCCTGTATTTATGTTCTCATCATCATGGAATAACAAAAAGTACCCTCATGCATATGTCTAGGTTAATTAAGTCCAGATGTTTTTTAAGTCTCAAGAAGCAAAAATGATTTAATAGAGTGTAGGAGGAAAAAAATAACTTTCTATCGAAGGATGCCTTTAGACTCATGGAGCTAAAAGAAAATTGGACAAAACTAATAATTCTATAACCAAAAGCCAATTTCACTACCGTAAGTAAAATATGCGTTTCTTTTTTTTATGTCTGATAGTGTACAAATTCTTGCATTATCAATAATCCTTATTAACTAAACAGTATCTATTATAAAGGTATCATATGTGACTACGTTGCAATCTCACATAGGACTGCTTCCCCTTTTTTCATCATGTGTGATAACATTATTCCCTCTTTAGTTATTAAGTACCATGATACTTCAGTACAAATAAATAATAAAACCTCAGGCAAAACAAATAATGTCTACAACAGAATTTACAGAATAAAGGTACTATTAAAACTACTTAATCAAAGATTTCAAGATGTATTTCATGTTTAAACTGCACACAAAAATACCAGGAGGGAGTAATATTTATTAACCTCATTTTTGCTATGATTCTTCCTTATATTAATATCCCAACATGCCCCTGTTGCCTACTTCTTGCATGGTCAGTGTAGTCTCTTACTTGCTATTCAGTGGTAGAGCATGAAATGACAGAACTGAATTTTCTGGGGATTCTTTAGAACAAAGAGAAACTATTAATTTACTTCATAAGCAACGGCCACCTCCTCCAGTGGAAATGGAGCAAGCACTGAGAGAAGAGGAACTTCAATTTGAGGAATATAAAGAAGAAATTAAAGAAAATGAAGATAGAGAGCAAAAGAAAAATATTCCTGGAACTGGAGATGGGAAGAGACTTCCTACTGAGAGGCAGAGCAGAGAAGGGGCAGAGCAGAGACCTGGAGAGGAGGGGAGGCAGACCCATCAACACGGAAGCACAGCAAGCGGGGAGGAGGAGGAGGAGGAAAAGGAAGAGGAGGACTACAAGGACCAGTATGAGACCATCAGAGGAGACGTATTCAGGATGCCATCTCCACTCCCAGTCCCTGCCCCTCCCAGAGGCATGCCACCTCTGCCAAGTGGATGTTCTTTGTCCTATAGGACCATCAGCTGCAGCAGCGCTGACCTCACAGAGATACCACCGCTAACAGCACCAGAGATAACAAGCTTGGAGCTTCCTGGTAAGAGATGTTGATGTCTGTTTTATTTTGTGCTTTAAAAGTAGATGACTCTCTTTGTCCCATGAATGTTATATTTTAATTTCATAATATAAATTGATTCCAAACAGTCTATTTTCACAATCTTCAAACATATAAACTTTGCAGAAGAGGTAGGTATTCACTACAGTATAGCATAATTAGGTATAAAGCAAATTCCTCCAAGTCAAACCATGATTGCCCATGGACTCTTTCTTAAAGTCATCTTTACTGAGGTATAATTTATATGTAGTAAAACTTACTTTTAGCATGTTATTGAGTTTTGACACATGCATATAGTCAGGAAACCACCGCCACAATCAAGATACAGAACATTTCCTCGCCTCCCCCTAGTCACTCATGTCCTTCCTTTCATAAGCCCTGGCCACCAGGATATGTTCTGTGTCTACAGTTTTGCCTTTTCCAGTATGTCATACAAATAGAATTATTCAGTACATAGGCTTTTCTGTTGGGCTTCCTTCACTTATCATATTGCTTTTAAGGGTCATCCAAGTTATTGCATTTATCAGTATCTTGCCCCTCCATATTACCGAGCGGTTGTTTGGATGAACCACAGGTACCAGCTAAAAGATGTCTATTATTCCTAGTTTGGGGCAATTATATGTACAGTTGTTATAAACATCCACATAGAGATGTTTGTGAGGACAAAAGTTTTCTCTTTCCTAGAATACATATCCAGGCGTAGGGCCTCTGAGTGACACAGTAAATGCATGTTTAACTTTGTGAGAAACTACTGAACAGTCTCTAAAGAGGCTGTGACATTCCTGACAACAGTGTCAGAGAGGTCTCACCATTCTGCTTCCTGTCAGCTATCCCCTCCCCCCATTTTAGCCACTCTGATGGACATGGAGTGGTCCGAACGTTTCACTCTTGTTTTTATAGGGCCACCTGAAAGGGTTCTAAGTAGAAGAATGGCATGACCAGATGTGTGTGTGTGAGCTGGCTGGCTGGCAGGGAGACTGGGCAAATGAAAAAGGGTGATAAGGCCCATGAGGGGTGGCCCTGCAGATGCAGGGGTGACAGAATCTCAATGGGGTTTCAGGTGTGTCTTGGGGGAAAACATAAAAATAAACTACCACCAAAATAATAAATGATCATATAACTACTCAATAGAAAAAGTCCAACACCTGTGTTCAGGATGACCAGTCTGCGCTAGGACACCAGCAGTGTCATGGCCTTCCTGACATGATCCTCTTGTGACCACCAAAGGAATTTTTCTTATACCCAGAGACTCGTGCTCCAGCAAGGCCCCCTTCTCCTGTGGCCTGCATGCCAGATATGCTCTGCCATAAGAAAGCTCAATTTGTGAAAGTCTAAAGTCTTATGAAAGATAAAAGACCTGTGCTCAGTCATATTACCTTGGTTTTACACGAAGGCTACCATGTGATTTATGTAGTACTGTTTCTGGTAAACTCATTTTCTGAGTCTAAAACCATTGAGTGCTGTACTTAGCTAAATGTTGAAACAAAACACCATAAATTTAAGGCATATAGAACTTCTGCAGATTAAAGTCATAAAAGTAAAACATCTCCCCAAGCTTCTTATTTAGAAAAGAAAATTGGTGCTCAGAAAAGGTTAAGTGACATGCCCAAGACTTTATTAGTTAATAATAGTATCATATTTCTGAACCAGGTTCTCAGAAATACCCATGGGAAAATATGAAGAGCTATAAAAATCAGTTTCTACATAACCTTCCAGAAACAATCTTTTTATAAAATGCACAATGCTAACAGAATCATCCAGCAAACCGCACTGTGGCTGTTTTAAGTAAAACAAGTCTTTAGAGTGAACATTTTGACTATGTAACAGTCTAGTCCCAGTCTTGTTATTTTTCTAAACATGTATTTGCTTATATAATATATATCCTGTCCTTGTTATGAGTATTGCTTTCTCCTACAGTCAAAACTCTCTTTTGCCATCTGTTCATGTGCACATGAATGTACGTATGTGTGTGCATTCACATACATGTGTGTATTGGTACCTAGGTCTAAAAATCAACTGCTCTGTGTCCTAGGCAATTCCATCACCTCCATTCCAGATGAAGCCTTTAATGGATTACCAAATTTGGAAAGGCTTGATTTGAGCAAAAATAATATCACCTCCTCAGGCATAGGTCCAAAAGCATTCAAGGTAAACACATGCTCTGATTTGGGAGTAACAATCCATTTAGACAGCTTTCCCATGACTTGTACTAGTAGTGGGTGGAGACAGGGAAGGGAGAAAAAGTTAAATGTTTTAACTGGTAGTTTTCTCCTAAGTTAAAGTTTCCTCCCTGATGTCCCTAAACTGTATTCAAGTTTTATTTTGAATAGACTCTGTTGTTTCACATGTTTCTGGCTGGTTTTTCTAAGCTTCACCCTTAGAGCACCAACAACAGCATCCATGACAAAGAAGCGTTTTAAATTCAAAGAGCAGTTTTCCCCTAAGTAGCTGAAGATGTTGAAATCATCTTGTTCAACAATCAAAGATGTTGAAATATGGTCTCTTAGTACAAAACGTATTCCTGGGAAGAAAGAATAGTCTTTATCTGGAAACTCTATCGATATTTTGAGGCCAGCAACCCAGAGCTTCCCTACTTTGTGCCATGGGCAACATCTGATGAAGGGATACTTCAGCAAAAAGGGGTTCTGAAAAAATAAACGGACTCTGATGAAAACTGTAATGGGGATAGGTTGGAGCAAAAAGAAGGAAGGGCAAAAAATGGGGAATAGTACAGAATAAACTTCCGAAAGACTCAGATCTGACAATTTTTTTTCTAAAAAGGAGAAAAGAAGAGAGGATGAAGGAATTTCAGATAAACAAAGGCAGAAGCATGAAAGGAGAGCTCTTTGTGTGTAAACAAATACTCATAAATATGTATGCTTTAAGAAGCCCAACTAAAACGTACTGTATCTCATTAGGTCAAACTTTATCCTCTTGGCCAGCCTTCTGTCCAATCCTTAAACAAACTGCAGGCTTCTTATACACCCAGTTCCTGGTTCTCATTCAGAGTCTGGGCTGGCAGATAAGAGGTTCACATTTATGTCACAGATGAAGAGTACCTGCCTCATGCTAGTCATTCTTCTGAGAGAAAACCTGGGACTTGTACATTTCCTGTATTTGATCAAAAAGGAAGGCCAGGAAATTACCTTCTTTTTTTGCTTTGGGATTTTCTGTACCATTAACAAAATGCTCAAATTTGACTGTGAACACTACTGGAGTGAATCATTCGCATGGCTTCACTTAAACCTGCCCAACTGCAGCACTCCACTGTGATAGTGCAGGCTGTTTGGCCAACAAGCATACAACCATAAATGTGGACATGTGCTTCCCACCCAGGTAAAACTCTTTGGGTACCACCATAGCAATAGCTTGTGAAATTTGTATCATTTCATTTTGAAGAATTTTCACCATAATTAATGCTGTTATAATTCTGCTTCTACTGAATGAACATAGAAAACAGGTTTACAAATTTGAAAGGATTCAAATTGATATCCTAATTTCAGAATCCATGACAGATTCAGGTCACTGCATGATTTAATTAACTTTGTGTCTGTTGCTGAAGTGAAGACCTAAGATCTAGCAAAATATCATCAATCCAGTGGCAAATAAATATAGGTGACAGGAATACAAATTCACCAAATGTAGTTTGCTGAAAATGCCTGGGAATAAATACTAGCAACAGGATCAACATCTACCTAGCAGGGAGAATATGGGGATTCCCATGTAAACCTACTGAGTAAGTTCAGGTTTATAAGATGTCAGTAACTAGAACAAATCGGACCATTAAATGAAAAATGTTACTATACTTCTGTGACCAGATAAAAAAGTAACTTTGAGATTTGCTTTTAAGCTTCTGAAGAAATTAATGCATCTAAATATGGATGGGAACAATTTGGCAGAGATTCCTTCAGAACTACCATCTACATTAGAAGAACTTAAAATCAGTGAGAACAATCTTCGGGCTATTGAAGAAGAAAGTTTATCAGGTATTTAGCATGTGATTTTATATGTGTCCTTATACCTTCTTCTGTAGTTGTACAGGAATTCTAATTGCAGAGTTGCCACATAAGTAGTTAGCAAGGTTTTTAAGGTCACTTTATCATGAGGTTGATAAAACTTGCTTTAACTGTTGACTGTTGAAATTTCCTAAAATGTATTTTAAACTGCCTCTTGTCTTAAAAAGTACTTTAAATAGGAATAAATCTCTCAATTATTTCAGGTTTTCATTATTTACAACACATTGATCGAACTGCAAGTCTGTAATATCCTGAGTTACACTAACTTTGGACACAGACAGGTGTTCTGGTGCTATGTCTGTACCGAGTTTTTGGTGCTTACTGGTGATAATGCTGTCCCACAGCTGACTAATTGGGTCTCTATCACTCTTAGATGCCCAGCATACCACAGCCACAACTCCTGCTGCCTCCAAACAGTTTGCTATTTTAATGTGTCATGTGTTGGGATATAAGAATTATATGTCAAATATGAGTAAGTGGGCACTATATGTGATGCCACGGGGCTATCCAACAATCACTAACTGTAGCACTTGCACTCAATGGCAGAAACTTTGGCTTTGACAGTCTTGTTCCTAAGAGGATTGTTCTAGCACTTCTGGCACTTCTTTACACAGCACAAGATGGATGATGCACATGGGTGTGTGGCTGCCATGACAGGCAGGCTTTCCTATGAATGGGCTTTAGTGAAGGTGCCCCACATTCCACATATTTGATACACCTAGAATTGAGTATTCTTATGGTTGTTTCTGGACTATGCTGGATAACTAAAGTTGCCATAATATCAACTCTGTATAAAAGAGGCAATACTAAATTTAGCTTTCATGAACTCTAGCTAATGTCTTTAATTAGATTACATTCTTTTTAAGACAAAGACTGCCTAATTTTTTGTTTTATCTTTGAAACAGTCTAATGTAGCTCTTGAGGTACAGTGCTCAACACTTTATTTGATTTGAAATATATTTATTATGCTAATATTGATTACCCAACCCTTCAAAGGAATAAAACAATTAAATTATTTCCTTTCACTCCCAAAAATTTTCTCAGGAAGAAAACACTTCTGGTAATGGGAAAAAAAAATATAACAGTGAGAATGGGAAAACTGAGGATTCCAGAGTTATGGAAATACTCTATTTCCAGATGAATTTCAGGGTACACAAGAAAACAATTAATAAACACAAATTTTGATGGGCTTTGTAATATGAAAAAGACATTAGAAAATTCAATTTCTTACTGCTAGTAACCAAAACAGACCAAAGGAATATTTACTTCAGAAGAAGTGTACTAATGGGCTGTATGTGAACTACATGTGAGATCACATTTCCCCTGTGTTATCAAATGACATGTCATAAGACATAAGTCCATATTTGGAAAATTCTCTCACACATTCCTGCAACTGCTTCTCTGCTCTTCTCCCTCATGAACAAATGTTTCCACAGCTCCAGAGGGTTGACTGGGGTCCAGGGTAAACTGGCCTCCTATGTACTCCCCACCCATCTTCACAGTCCCAGTACTACACAGGCCTCGGACCTGTGCAGGTAGCCACTAAGGAGGCTCTCCACTGTCATCTCGCTCATAGAGCCCCCTGCACTCTCTGTCTGGGCCAGCTCTTTTTCTCTTTGGATGACATTTTAGTCCTGCTCCAGTGCCAATCCCTCAGGTGCTGGATTCTCCCTTGACTGGGGCAGCCACTGAAGCTCCCCAGCTCCTGTGAATATTGCTGCCCTAGATGATCAGGCTGACTGGCAGGGAGCAGGGTGAGCCTGAGAAAAGGCCAGAACTAGCGCTGTGACACTGCTCTTTCAAGGTGGAATCTCCTGGCTTGGTCATCAGTGGCCTGCTATTCTCCTGTTATCTCTTTTGGCAGGTCTCTTGCCCATGACCTTTCAGGTTATGTATAGTTCTAGGGAAGTGGGAAAGAAATACACTTCAGGGAGAGAAGCAGCATGTGCAAAAGCATGGAGAAATGAAACAATCTGGATGCCACAGGAACAGCATGCAGTTCTAGTTCTGTGAGTCTGTCATTCAGGGTGTGATGGGGAATTCACCTCGTGAAAAGGTGGGCAGGGACCAAAGAAAAGGTGCACCTGTTGTGCCAAGACACTGGTAGTTCATTGAGGATTCACTGAGATTTGCATACCCACTAGGGAGAAATGGAGGGTCTTATAATTGGGTGGTGGGGGGGAGTGAAGGGGCAGATAGGAGGGACAGCAGAGGAAAACTGGATGTGCTTAAAAAAATGTCTACCCACATCTATAATCTGTCATGTCGCTCCTCCAGCCCACAACAGGAATGACTTCCTACTAGCTCTCTGATAATAAATCCTCTTTCTACCTCAAGTCTAACCTATAAGAACCTTTTAATCTTTTCTAACTCTATCTCATTTCCTCTAACATACTAATACACATACTGTGTGCTTCCTACATATACAATATACACATAAATGAGGGAATTGTAAAGTGATGTATAATATATTGTACATGTATTGTGCATTATGTTTCTCTTTTTGGAGGGCATGTAATAACCATTTGTGTACTTCTACTATCTGTTTTTCACTGGACAACTTCTATTACATTCCGAAACCTGAAATCTGTGCTAGATAAATATGCTGAATGCTCAGTATTTTCAGTTTTGGATAAAGTGAATATGAGGAAGTGTAATCACTTATTAGAGTTTACAGGCTGGCCTCCCAAATTCATGTCTCTCAGCCCTTCAACTGATCCTAAACACCACCAGCTGAGCCCGGCTCACACTCCCATACCACTCAAGTCTACATTGCTGTCTATCTCTGTGTCATCTTCTAGTGTCTATGATCTGTACTCTGGGGAGTACTGTCTTGCTTCTCTGATAGGCCTAAGAGAAGGAAATGAGTTGCACAGAGCATTTAGGGCAATGCCTGTGACTTCAGTTGAATATGAAAACATCCTCTATTCTGGAAATCTTGGCCACTGAACAAACTCCAAAGTTACACCCTGAATGTCTGACTCAGACACTTCTGGCAATCATCATTGTTGACCTGTCCATTCTTCTTTAAGATTCCAATTAATTTGGATCATACCACTCTTGAGGCCAGTAGAAACAATTCAGAGAACACTTGTTTGTATAAAGGCCTTTTTTTGGTAGCACGATCTGAACGCATGGAGAATTTTTGAAGATTTTGCTTTCAAAATGTCTACCTGGCTGCATTCTCTGCCAGGAAGTGAATATTGTGATGGAAATTCAATGCTGCATGTTCAGAAACCGAGGGTTTGCCAGGCAAAGAGCGTTCCTTCTTTGTCCTGGAAAAGGAATCTTTGCACTACACTCCTCATCCATCCCCAATTATGTTGCCATTTAATACCCACCTGTCTCTACAAATGCTTCAAATGATCTTCCACAACCTTCTACTTCTTGCACAGCTGTGTTCTGAGTCCCTGCTGGGCCATCGCTGCCTCCACCAACTATTTGCCAATCCTTACGGTGTTCACTCTGACCAGACAGCACAATGGTTTCTCTATAGGCCTGCCTCTCCATGACACCATGCATTCAGTGTTCAGTCTTGGCTTAACTGAGCATTTAGAGTGTGCAACATACTTGGGAAAAGGCTCTATAGGGACATACAAAGAAAGAAGCTACAGAGACTTCTGGCCAAGATGGGGTATAGGTAGATACACTTTGCCTCCTCACACAACCAAGAGAAGGACAACAACAAATTTAAAAATGAAAAACAACCAGAAGTGCCACAGCAAATTGAACTGTATGGAAGTATGAAAACCAAGGAGTTAAAGAAGGAACATTCATCCAGATAGATAGGAGGGGTAGAGATGGGCAGCTGGGGTGGAGAGGACACATGGCAAGGTGACAGCTGGAGGACCAAGTGGGCAAGGCAGTTGCTGGTGGACTGGGCGGTCCCAGAGTTGCATGCAGATACACAGCTGGGGAGCAAGACAGCCCACGCAACCCAGGGTTCAAGTGCAGGAAAAGGAAGCCTCAAAACCTCTGGCTGTAATATCCTGTTGGAGATATGGCAGCAGGAAAAACTCCCAGCTTCGCAGGAGAGTCCGTTGGAGAGACCCGTGGGGTCCTAGAATGTACATAAACTCACCCACCTGAGAATCAGCATCAGAAGGGCCCAATTTCCCTGTGGGTAGTGGGAAAAGGTGACTGAAAGCTGGCCGAAGGCCGAGAGCTGAGCAAGCGGCATTGTACCATCTCTGACCCCTCTTCCACACACAGTGTCACAACAAAATGACCTGGGTTGCCCCACCCTGGTGAATACCTAAGGCTCTGGCCCTTCAAATGTATCAGGCATGCCAAGACAAAGAAATATGGCCCAAATGAAAGAACAGATCAAATCTCCAAAAATAGAACTAAACGATGAAGGGATAGCCCACCTATCAGATGTACAGTTCAAAACACTGGTACTCAGGATGTTCACAGAAAGGGTTGAGTATGGTTGCAAAATGGAAGAAAAGCAAAGGCTACACAAAATGAAATAAAGAAAAATATACAGGGAACCAACAGTGAAGGGATGAAAACTAGGACTCAAATCAACGATTTGGAGCAGAAGGAACAGTAAGCATTGAACCAGAACAGAAAGAAGAAACAAGAATTCAAAAAATTGAGGAGAGGCTTAGGAACCTCTGGGACAACTTTAAATGACCCAATACCTGAATCACAGGGGTGCCAGAAGAGAAGAGGAAGAACAAAAAATTGAAAACTTATTTGAACAAATAATGAAAGAGAACTTCTCCAATCTGGCCAAGGAAACAGACTTCCAGGAGATTCTGGAAGCTCAGAGAGCCCCAAAGAAGTTGGACCCAAGGAAGCACACACCAAGGCACATCATAATTAAGTTACCCAAGATTAAAAAAAAGGAGAGAATCTTAAAAGCAGCAAGAGAAAAGGAGACAGTTACTTACAAAGGAGTTCCCATAAGACTAGCAGCTGATTTCTCAAAAGAAACCTTGCAGGCAACAAGGGGCTGGCAAGAAGTTTTTGAAGTCATGAAAAGCAATGACCTACATCCAAGATGACTCTATCCAGCAAAGCTATCATTTAGAATGGAAGGGCAGATAAAGTGCTTTCCAGATAAGGTCAAGTTAAGGAGTTTATCATCACCAAGACCTTATTGCATGAAATGTCAAAGAGACTTATCTAAGAAAAAGGTGAAAAACTATGAACAGTAAAAAAGAGGGGAGGAGGAGAAGGAAGAACGGGGGAAAAGGTACAGGGAATAAGCAGCATAAATAGTAGGTACAAAATAGGCAGGGGGAGGTTAAGAATAGTATAGGAAATGGAGAAGCCAAAGAACTTATATGTACAACCCATGGACATGAACTAAGTGGGGGGAGTTTATGCTGGGCGGGGGGGAGTGCAGGGTGGAGGGGAATAAAGTGGAGAAAAAAATGTGACAACTGTAATAGCATAATCAATAAATTATATATTAAAAATAAAAATGAATAAATAAGATCTTAGACAAAAGAAGCTACAATATCTATCCTCCAAATAAACTGAACACTTCACATGACATTTTGAAAGGTTATAGGAATTGTATGATGTTCCAGTTGGTATCCTAATACCCCAATAATTATGTTTTTTATAGATTTAAATCAATTGGTCACCTTAGAACTGGAAGGAAACAATCTCAGTGAAACCAACGTCAATCCTTTAGCTTTCAAACCTTTGAAGAGCCTATCCTACCTGCGGCTGGGAAGAAATAAATTTAGAATTATACCACAGGGTCTTCCTGCTTCAATTGAGGTACCCATATCTTTCTGCAAATATTTTATATTTTAAATACAGTATGCTACAAAACAAACAATATATTTTAAGGCATTATTGTGAGGCTTATTAAACTCTGTATTTTTTATTCTATATATGGAACTTGCTATAATTTGAACATTTTTCTCTATAAATTACATACAATTATGAATCAAAGTTATAATTATGAGTAGAGACCCTTAAAAAAGTAATAAATGGTCCTACTGACAGCTCCTCAGGAGAGACTGGGAAAATGAACTGAGAATTTAAACAGAATCTATGACTTGCAAGAAGTACCCTGACTTGCAAATTAGTTTTAACGATCCCCAAGAGAATTGTGATAATCATCCCAGTCTGTGTCACTCAGAGTCCCACGTAAACTAGCAGTGACCCTGCATGATTGGACATAACCTACAGAGAAGGCTGCCAGCTGTGCTGACAGCCTCCCAGTTTACCAGTTCTGACAAGCTCCTCCCAAAGGTCCAAGTGCTGTTCTTGTCTCCACCCCTCTGCAGATGCCCCTGCTGCAGAGAAGTGTGGTCTCCCTTGTTGTGGCAAGGAACACACTTAACTATGAAGGACTCCTGATGGACTTTGCTACTGAGGGTACATCGAACTTCCTGCATTAAGGACACAAAGGTCTGGCAGATCCAGCTGAAACCCAGACCATCTCCTCTGAGCTCCATTTCTACCATACACTAGATTACTCAGCAAGAAGGAAGGATGAGGTTTCCCAGACCTGGGGACCCAGAGGGCCAAGAGGGAGCCACTGATCTCCATCTGATGTTGCTGCCACAGTCACCACCCTTCCTTTTTCTCCAATTTTCAGATTGAGACGAAAGATTAGAATTTATCAGAATAGAAAAGATCATGGTTCCAAACCTGGCTTTACATCACTGTCACTTGGATGCTTAAGAAATACAGACTCCTGGACTTATTCCAGACATGCTAAATCAGGTTCTTTGTATGGGGGGTCAGCAATTTGTAACTTTTTTTAAAAATTAAAGTTTTCAATACATAATGTACACAGTAAAACACACAAGTACATACATAGGTGTGTGAGCACACAGCTTGAAAAATACAAAGAGCAATGTGCGTCCATTCCACATCTAACCCTTCCATCCCTCTCTTCTCTTTCCAAAGGACTTCTCTGACTAACCTGGGAAGTGCTGTCCACACAGACACTTGTGCTCTGAATCCACCCAAGGCACAGCTTCAGAGCTGCATAGCTTCAATGTATGGATGACTGTGCTTTGACTGGGGTACATTTAAGTTGAAATTTACACTTTAAAAAGCTCACAAGTGTCCAGGTCAGGTGGCTCAGTTGGTTGGAGTGTCATCTCATACCCCAAAAGGTTGCGGGTTTGATCCCTGGTTGGGATCCTTGCTTGGGGTGCATAAAGAAGGCAACCAATCGATGTTTCTCTTTCACATTGATGTTTCTGTCTCTCTTACTTCCTCTCTCTAAAAATCAATTAATGTATCCCTGAGTGAGGTTTAAAAATAAAAATAAAGAGCTCACAATTATTGTACCATACAAAGTTTGGGAACCACTGATCTAGTTTACCCCTAAATACATATGAAGGGAAAAGAAATAAGCTAAAAATCTCTTTGCCCATTCCTAAAAAATACCAAACTTAAGTGACAATGACAGGGAAGTTACTACAAAAGGAACAGAAAGTTACACTGAAGATACATACCCATTCTACTGAATTCCAATGAGATTCTGGTTGAATGAAAAACCCTGATGCCAACTGAATTAAATTTGAAGAGAGCTAGCTTTTGAAAACTTAAAGTTCTGGTAAACTTCACCATGACAATACATAAAAGATCTGAATTGACTTCAAATTAAATTAATCATCATACAAAAGCAAGTCCAAAAAACATGAGCCTAAAAATACTGCAGACAACATGAACTGGTGGGGCTGAGTTAGGATGAGTTTTCTTTGTACATTGGCTGTGTAGCCTTGAGCATGGGCTCCTTGTGTCTCTAGGCTGGATTCTCTCCACTGCTGGAGATTATAATGGGGATTATAATTTCTACCTATTTACTAGGATTTTGAAGTCAAATGAAAAAATTTATGTGAATAAGTTTATCCAATTATTATGGCATACTATATCTTGCCACATTTTATGGTTAAAAATAGTTAAATAAAATCACAGACACTCCATATTTTTCTAATTAAAAAATTTGACAGCTTAAAAATGTCCTTGGAAGAGCAGTAAAAGACTCTTTAGATAATACTAATGAGAATAGTTTGTGATACCATTTTAATTTCTGTAAAATTGAATATATTCATCAACTAACAAGAAGAAAAATAAGTCTTTTCTTTTAATTATAGGAATTATACCTAGAAAATAACCAAATTGAAGAAATAACTGAAATATGTTTCAATCATACCAGAAATATCAATGTCATTGTACTATGTTATAATAAAATCGAAGAAAATAGGATTGCCCCTTTAGCCTGGATAAACCAAGAGTAAGTATCTACTATAATTAGACTTTTTAAGACAATCTCTCCCTTTTGCCATTATTAAAGAGATATGATCATGGAGATATGAGGGAGGTGACAGCATCCTTTCTTAGTGACTCCATTCCCACCCGCCCAAACTTAGGCACGGAGTTCAAACCAATGATGACATGACTGGTGTTAGGATAGCCACAGTCACTGTTGCTGTGGACACCTTACCACATGCAAGTATTCGGCCAGCCACAACTGGGCCTGTGCAGTAGGCCTGGGCTCTAACTACCACGACACTCTGTTGACTTCACAGGGTAGTCATGAAGTTTAAGTGAGATAATCGCCTGCACAGACTGAGGAAGGAAACTGCCCTCCTCTGTCAACTTGCTTAGGTAAAAGCACCAGGCTTCACTGTCCTACAACCACACTGTCTTCATTTCTCCAAACAATTTCTCTTCCTCAAGTCTGACAAAGTAGACTGGAGAATGCTTGGCCTGATAGCCCAGACAGACAGCAGAGATCATTTTCCTGAAGAGAAATATGTGGCCCCAGGCTGCAGCCCTCACTGAAGGGGCCAGTGTGGAGACTTTGCTGGGCAAGGTGAAGAATAAGCCATGTGGGAAAGCTTGATTGAGCCCTGTTAGTGGGTCCAGCATGTGGCAAGGGAGCAAGGGATCTGACTAGCACAGCTGGGAAAGGTTTCTTTTAGAAGCAGCATGGGAATAAATGAAAAGTGTGGATGGCCAACTGGGTTTTAGCAGGATGTAGTAGTGGCAGGTGACTGAGTCTTCGTGAGGTACCCAGTCTTATGAGTAGGCAGAGCCTGCAAGTGAGGCTCCTGAAATCAATCAGGCAGTTCACATTTCCTAAGCTTCTGGCCAGTGAACAACCTTTTCTAGATCCCTCAGTCTCATTCCATGTCGTAGGTGCCAGGTCATCAGATCAAATTGGAATGAGAATACAAAAACACCACAGCACTGCCACTTCTTTGCTAGGACCATTGAAGATTTTAGGAATAGGCAATTTGATGTTGGCTAGAACTCTTAGATTTCATCTCTCATTCAAGTTTGACCTTAGAGATACTTGGGGACTTCTTTGAGCCTCAGCATTACCCCTGGGATATGAGTTTTTCTCTCTGAACTCTGGTGCACCTCTCTGATGGAACTGGAGCAGCTGTGTGGTGCCCAGGTAAGAGAACACAACTTGAGTCAGGCTGCCACAGAGCCACTGTTGCACTGGGAATCATCATAGCACACCGACTGCTGGCAAAAAAATCAAAAAGCATCCTCACTGGCCTTGTCAAAACCTAAAGCTCACAGTCACTGCCCTGATATTCTACCCTGTTTATTCTTTGCTTTGCCACAGAAATCTGGAATCAATTGACCTTTCCTACAACAAGCTCTACCATGTCCCCTCCTATCTCCCCAAGTCGCTGCTGCACCTTGTGCTCTTGGGGAACAGGATTGAGCGCATCCCTGGCTATGTGTTTGGCCACATGCAGCCAGGCCTGGAATATCTGTACCTCTCATTCAACAAACTCTCTGATGATGGTGTGGACCGAGTCTCCTTCTATGGGGCTTATCATTCTCTGAGAGAGCTGTTTCTGGATCACAATGACTTAAAATCTATACCACCAGGCATTCAAGAAATGAAAGCACTACATTTCTTGAGGTTGAACAACAACAAGATACGGTAAATTTTGGCTTTTTCAGGTATTTATTTGTATTGCCGTGATTGACAAAAATATATGATTAAACTACTATGACATGATGTCTGGGATTCACTTTAAGGAAAAAAGTGACAAGAGTTGTATTAAACAAGATTGGTAAACGTTAGTAATTGTTGAAGCCAGAAGATAATAGGTACATAAGAATTCATTATGTTTCTCTACTTTTGTATATATTTGTGTATTTCCATAGTAAAATATTTTAAAAGCAGAGTATTATTATATAATACTTGGAACCTCAAAGACAGGTTGAAATGAGGCATCAAGGTATTAGATGATGGTGCTTCTCACACCTTCACATATAAACACTTTAATCTGTGGAACACAACATCTAAATATATGCTAAAATTAAACTTGCTTCTATCTAGATTCTTCTGAAAGTAAAATTCTAAATAAATTTATGGAGATTCATCTTCCCTCACTTGTCGAGACAGTTTTCTGCATGGGTTCTGCCTGCCCAGAAAGCATTAACAAAAGAGGCAAAACACTGAGCTCTGGGGCCTTGTCCATGAAGAGTACATCTTCATACCTTTCCTGTCCTCTAAAATTCCAAACACATTTAAACGCCTCCAAAAACAAGACAGAGAAAGGATTAAGAGATTCTAAATGCCCTGGTGGAAGAAGTAGGGGGTAGCTAGGGAGGCTTTGTAAGATTTGCTTTCAAAATATTTGGCTAATTTACTCCACAAGTCATGTTATGTGCTTGCTTTCTATTACTTTGCAACAGGATACATATGTTTGTTTGTACCACTTCTGGTGGGATTTAGGGGGCCAAGGCCTGACATTTGCATTATAACCTTTTCTCCTCCACCACTGAACCAGTGGTTTCACTCACAGATAGACCACTGTTGCCTGAATCTGTTCTTTTCTTTTCGTAAGTATATTTTATCGATTATGCACTTACAGTTGTCCCAATTTTTCTGCCTTTGTCCCCCTGACACCCAGCACCCCCTTCTCTTCAGGAATATGCACTCCCCACTTAACTCACGCCAATGGGTCATGCATACAAGTTCTTTGGCTTCTCTATTTCCTATACTATTCTTAACACACCCCTGTCTATTTTGTACATACCAATTATGCTTCTTAATCCCTGTACTTTTCCCACCATTCTCCCTCTTCCCCTTCCCAGTTGATAACCCTCCAAATGATTTCCACGTCTGTGATTCTCTTCTTGTTCTTGTTGTTTGTTTTTGTTTTTTAGATTCAGTTGTTGAATGTTATGAGTTTGTCATTTTAATGTTCATAGTTTTGACCTTCTTTTTATTAGATAAGTTTCTTTAACATTTCATGTAATAATGGCTTGGTGATGAACTCCTTGTCTGGGAAGCACTTATCTGTCCTTCAATTCTAAATGATAGCTTTGCTGGGTAGAGTAATCTTGGTTGTAGGTCCTTGCTTTTCATCACTTTGAATACTTCTTGCCAGCAAAGTTTCTTTTCAGAAATCAGCTGATAGTCTTATGGGAACTCCTTTGTAGGTAACTCTCTCCTTTTCTCTTGCCCCTTTTAAAATCCTTTATCTTTAACCTTCAGCATCTTAATTGTGATATGTCGAAGTGTTGGTCTCTTAGGGTCCAACTTGTTTGGGACTCTCTCTGCTTCCTGGACTTGTATGTTGATTTCCTTCACCAAATTAGGTAAGTTTTCTTTCATTATTTTTTCAAATAAGCTTTCAATTTCTTGCTCTTCTTCTTCTCCTTCTGGCATCCCCATGATTCAGATGTTGGCACATTTGGAGATGTCACAGAATCTTTTTATCCTCTCCTAGCTTTTTTAAGTTCTTGTTTCTTCATTCTGTTCTGGTTGAATGTTTATCTCTTCCCTATGTGCCAAATCGTTGATTTGAACTCTGCTTCCTTTCCTTCACTGTTGGTTCTCTGAGGATTTTTCTTTATTTCACTTAGTGTAGCTTTCATTTCTTCCCTTATGTTTTTGCTGTACTTGATGACTTCTCTGAGCATCCTTATCTCCGGTGTTTTGAACTCTGCAACTGATAAGTTGGTTACATCTATTTCACTTAGTTTTGTTCTGTTTTTTCCTTTGGGCCATATTTCTTTGTCTCCCCAACTTGGCAGCCTCCCTTTGTTTGTTTCTGCGCATTTGGTAGAGCTGCTTTGACTCCCTGTCTTAGCACACCAGAGAAGTTGTAAGGGGTGAAGCCTTAGGTATTTGCCAGGGCGGAGAAACTCACTTCACCACTTTGTGGCACTGTGTGGGGGGAGGGGTTAGAGAGGGGATAATGCCACTGCCTGGCCTCTGGAGGCTTGCCCAGCACTGGTCCCATTTCTAGTCACTTCACCCACTTCCTGTATGCGACTGGTGCCCCTCTAGCTGCTGCCCTGCTGAATATCCCCAGAGTGGGTGGAGGTTTGTGGACATTCTAGGACTCAGTGGGTCCTTTAAATGGACTCTCCTTAGAAACCAGCGGTTTCTTCTGCCACCCCAACCCCGACTGGTTTTTACAGCCAGAAGTTGTGAGGTTCTGTCCTTCCGGCACTGGAATGCTGGGCTACGTGGTCTGGGATCACCTGGTATCAAGGTATCCCTCCTGAGTTTTATCCACTAGACATGGATGTGATACTGCTCCTTCTGACATCACCACCACCTCTCTGGCCCTCCTACCCATCAGGATGAATGCAGCTTCTTTAAATCCTTGATTGTCAGACTTCCATACAGTTTGATTTTCTTGCAGTTCTGGATGTTTTTTGTTTTCAGGTTAGTTGTGATTCTTCTTGTAGTTGTGTGAAGAGGTAAAGCAGGTCTACCTATGCCTTCATCATGACTAGAAGTCCCAAGTCTTATTTTCTTAAGGGTTACAAAATGGTGAATTTCTATTTTTGTCATTCTTTCCATATTTGCCAGCTGGAATTCCTCTATAAAGGATTTTTTCTTATCAACAAGGGCCACTTTTGTTATTCTGAAAGATAGGGTAAATGATCAGTTCTTTCCTTTAAACTGTCAGAGTAAGAAGTTTGTAACTATGAGAGGTGATGGATGTTAACTAAACTTACTGTGGCAATCATTTCCCAATACATACATATGTCAAATCATTACACTGTATACTTTAAACTAATACAATATTTTACTTTCATAAAATCAGAAGAATTATATATATAAGACTGTAAAATATATTAAAATGTTAATAGTGGTTATCTCAGGGAAAAATGGTGGTTGAGTGTTTTTGCTTTATTATTGTTTTTGGCTTTCTCTCTCTTTGGAGAATCAACATGAACTTATGGTTTTACTTATTTAGAATGTTTCAATTAATTGCAATTTTTGCTCTTAAACTGTCCCATCTTTGGCCAATAGTAGCCCTTCAAGCTGGCTCCTATGTCCTTAGACAATCTTCCATTGATTTTAGCTCACTTTTACATTCTCTACTGCACACCTGTGCCAGCCTTTCTCCAAAGATTCCCAGCTCTTCTCACAGGGGCAGAGTGTTCAGAGGACCTGGTCTGTACAGCAGGCATGTTCCCTTCAAATGTGCTATTACTGTTTTGAAAAATTTTAGTAGACTCCTAAAAAACATGCATTTTGTAAATAGAAAAATGAGTTCATACTGACATCCCCAATTCTAATTTAACATTATAGCGTATTCTTCTCATTTTAAACTTGTTTATCTTACACTGAAAATCTAGGTTCCCAAAAATATTAACTTACATTTGATATTACAATATATAAACAATAGTTTTTTAAAATTTTATTTATTTATTTATTTTAGAGAGAGGGGAAGGGAGGGAGAAAGAAAGGGAGAGAAACATCAATGTGTGGTTGCCTCTCATGTGCCCCCTACTAGGGACATGGCCCACAACCCAGGCATGTGCTCTGACTGGGAATTGAACTGGCAACCCTTTCATTCACAGGCTGGCTCTCAATCCACTGAACCACAACAGCCAGGGCTAAACAGTAGTTTTTAAATGATAATACCATTATTACAGCTAATAACAAAAAAGTTTGATGTTTTTGGTAGCTCCATTTGTCCTTGGAGTAAGTCGTACAAAAGAAGCATAGCTGAAATACAGTGGTTTTCTCTGTAATAATTTGTCAACAACTTAATACATACTCAGAAAAGGTCTTTTTTGGGAGACTTTAGGAATTATTATTTTCTAGTTGATTAATATAATTTTTACTATGTTAAACACTATATGATTTCAAAGTCAAAACTGCTAACAATGTATATTAAAAGAAGTCTTTCTCCTCTGTCTGACCCTTACACTGTAATCCATCTGCCCCCACAGGTTGAATTTTTAAATTAATTTCTAGTTTAACCTTCTAGTATTTCTTTTTGCAAATATAAGCATACATACATACATATCCATATTCCCCCATTCTCCCCAACAACTGCTATACAAATATTACATAGAAGGATGTTCTTTTCCCTCTTTAGAAAGAAAACATGTGTTTATTTCCATTCTTTACTCTTTAAAATGAGCAGTATATCATGGAAATTATTCCATATCAGTAAATGGAGAATTTCCTCATTCCTTTTTACAACTGCACAGTTTTCCATTGTTCAGATATTTTATTCAACCAGTTCCTTACTGATAGAAATTTGATTGTTTTCATTCTTTTAGTAGTACAAATAAGGTCACAGTGCGTAACTTTGTTCACTTTGTATTTTTCCAGTCTAACTTTGGGATAAATTCCTAAAAGTGGAATTGCTGGATAAAAAGGGGGAAAGGCGCATGTAATTTTGCTAGCTACTGCAAAGTTCCTTTTGATGGGCCTCTATTGTTATGAATTCCTTTCGTTGGTGTTTGGTCCTCTGCAGCTTCATTGTCAGAACATGTTGATGAGCTTTTGAACTTTTTTTTTGAGGCAAATCTGGTGACAATAGTATGCCAGTATACTTTCAATTTATATTTCTCTTATCATGAATGAAATTGAGCATCTTTTCATATTCACATATCATTTTATTTTTTCCTTTTGTGAATTGGTTGTCTCATTCTTTTTCCTTTCTTTTTTCCCTTTTCCTTCTAGATTTTTAGGTGTTTGTATATTAGCCCTTTATCTGTAATATAAGTTGCAAAGATTTTTCTCCTAGTTTGCCATTTGTCTTTTAACTGGATTTTTTAAAAAACCATGCAGTATATTCATTAATCTCATCTTTTAGTGCTTTTAGTTTTTAAGTCACAAGCAGGAAGCATTTTCCCTGCTCCCAGGTTATGACCATGCTTTCTTCATTTTAATACATCTATGGTTTCATTTTTCACATTCAGATCTTTGATGTATTTGTAACTTTTTCTGGTATAAAATATAAAAAAGGGATCAATTTTATTTCATAACAAGATAACTTTTTAAAATAAATGTAAAACTTAACTCCTAAATTATGAAGGCAGAATATTACTTGAATTATTTTGACTTTCATGTTTATTTTTCCTTAGGGATATTCTTCCAGAACAAATTTGCAGTGCTGAAGATGATGACGATTCAACACTGGAATATCTTCATCTTGAAAACAATTATATTAAAACAAGAGAAATATCACCCTATGCATTTTCATGCATAAGATCATATTCGAGTATCATTCTTAAACCACAGAATATCAAGTAATACTACATTTGCCTTTGTCATTTATAAGCTATATTTATATATTTGTTGTAGTAGTATTTATCATCAATGAGACACATCATGTCATGTTATAGTCAGTATCATTACGCTAGTCTACCTGATTGATTAATCTAGAGATGAACAACCAAAAATATATCTAGAAAGGTTTCATCCTCTAACACTTTCAGCTAAGGTTTCAGTTTCATACTCTAGAAATAAGCCATCATTGCAAAGCTTTTCTGATGGGAATTTCATGTTATACACTGCTGAGCAAGAGTCAAAGAATCTGGAACAAAATAAACATGTCCTTTACAACTGACCTGTGAATACTGCTGGGGACCCCTTAAGTCCCTTTAAAAATTATGTATGCTATGGGTCAAGATCAAGAAATGAATGGTAGAAAAAGATCATAGGAGGAATTTATGAACAAATGTTGTTTATTTTAAAGTAGAAAGAATAATTAACTTTCTTTAAGACCCTATGCTACAATTATTGGTATAGATACACATAAATATTGGGTTAGCTTTAGTTTCTTCTATTAATTACATGTGTGAAATCAAAACACCATTGTAATGTTAATTTCCTCATTTTGAGAATTGTACTATGGGGTATTTATGAGATTTTTAATATTAGGGGAAGCTGAGAGAATGGTACATGTGAATTGTATATTATTTTGAAAATTTTCTTTAAGTATAAAAAGTGTAGCAGTATATTTAGATCACCCTCATTAGTTTTTACTCAAGATCAAAAGGTTTTATGGAAAGCAGTGGAGTTTGCTGAAAGTATATAAAAAGTGTAGCAGTATATTTAGATCACCCTCATTAGTTTTTACTCAAGATCAAAAGGTTTTATGGAAAGCAGTGGAGTTTGCTGAAAGTATGTTAATTATCCTTGACTATATCTTGGCAAATGTAAACCTATTGCTTGAGCTTTTGAAAATTTTTGCTCCTTTGGTCATTTTTAGTACCTATCTTCTTTGCTCTGATTTGTTCAAGTATATATTTTTTTTAATCACCTTAATAAAGCTATTAGTATTTTACTACATACTGGACACTACCAACTCCATGTGTTAGAATTTTCATTACATAATGATCATTTATCTGTATTTCTAAAATAATTCATAACAGGCACATACAGAAACTGTGTTGACTTTTCTTGTTACTATCAGTTTGGTGTCTTGAAAAACACCAGACTAGGAACTTAAGTCCCAGTCTTGGCACCGTTGTGAAGGTTATGCTGATCTTTTGAACTTCAGTTATTTAATCTTTTAATAGTTCACTCACCACCCTCAGAACCTTCCAGCCCCACTTCACAGGGCTGTTATGAGAACTACAGAATGAAAAGCACCTAGGAAATGTGGTATGCAGGAATGCACTTACTACTACCAACTTTTCAAGTAAAATTCAGAACAACCAGCTTCAAATTTAATTATTATGGATAAGGCTATTTTGAAAAGCACTAAAGACATGTATAGCCTGGAATCATAAGGAAATAACTACACCAGGAATCAGGATACCTGGGTGCCCATACTCAACTGAGCATGTTATTTACAAACCCTTCTTTCTGAGCCCCAAACCCCCTTAACAGCTAGGATTTTGAGATTACAATATAAATAAGAAAAATAATATAAGGAAGACTGTTAAAATCAAGAATCAAGGCTTAAACCAACTGGCTAAAAACAGAAAAAGAATCGTATGGAAAGTTGAGATTCATAATAAGTTTCAGAATATAGGAGCATTAACTAACTTTAAATTGGCCAAGTTGAATATAAAAGACAGGTAAAAATAAGAAAATATGGTTATCCATTCATTTAACAAGAAACCTTGTGCAGTGTTTCTTGCTGTGTGAATATAAATACACAGACCTAAATGATTTAAGACAATTTTCAACTGGTCTGCTGCAAGAATTTTTAAAACATACAATACCTGACTAGTCATTGGCACTGACCTCTTTTCCCTTACATTGTCAAAGGGAAAAATGACAACAGCCAACACAACGATAGTCATTCCATGTAAATGGGTGAAAATTATACCTATCTTTTTGTCAGATCAGCAAAAAAATATATTGTTGGTGTGCTGCAGAATTTTAGTACTTAGTGTATGCATGTCACGAGATGGAAAAGGTTGAAAATTGCAGGTTTAAGGCAAGGTAAGCAGTAAACAAAATCAGTGTTGGAAGGGACTCAAAATGAAAAAAGTGAGTCAACAGAATTAGCGTCCTGGGACAACACAGATGGATATTCCAGTATTCATTTTTCATTCTGACTTTAGCTGTGTTCCAGATGCTGTTCTAGAGAGAGACAGGGATGAACTGATTAGATGAGGTCTCTGTTATCTGGGAGCGCATAGTGTGGTAGGAGCAATAAACAGGAAATCAAATAGACAATCAAATCAATAGGCAAGTAAAATGAAGTCAGTAGAACAAGGTGGCAAAGCAATGAACTGTGTTGGGATCCTGAGGCCCATCATCCTGCAGACCGAAATGTCAAGTGTTCAATTCCTGGTCAGGGCGCATGACTAAGTTACGGGTTCAGTCCTCCATTGCGGTACATGTGAGAGGCATCAGATCAATGTTTCTCTCTCATGTTGGTGCTTCTCTTCCCTTCTTTCTCCTCCCTTCCCCTCTCTCTAAATCAGTGAGAATGTCCTTGGGTGAGGATTAAAAAAAGTGATAAATGGTCTTACAGCAAACATTCTTCAAAATACAATGTTAAAAACAAACAAACATCCTGTTCGGCTTTAAAATTCTGCTATAAATACTAACACATATGAATACAAAGGAAGTCCTTGCCTAGCCATGGTGTGGAAATATTAATGGTGTCATCTTTGCACATATATACAAGGAATACTAACTATATTTTGAATTTTAAGATTTGGCTTATTGTAGATGATACTGTTTCAAAAAGCATTTAAGATATGTTATGGTGAAAGGCATATGAATAGCCTGGAATAATAAGGAAATTGTTATAATTACTTCAGGAACCAGGATATCTGGTGCCCATCTTGGTTCCTGATGATTAATTATGCAGTCATTTTGCTTTTTTGGGATTCACTTAATTCAATTATAAAACGACATGTTTGGAACAGATCAGTGGTTTTTAAGCATGACTCAGCAGGGGTTCATGGAGCCCTGAGGTGGAAGTGTCCCTAAAGACTCTCCCTTTAGACAAAGCAGTCTTTGATATCAGAAAGGGCTAGCTGTTGCTACCCCTCTTTTCCTTAAAACAAATGGAAAAGGTACTGTCTATGTCACACACCAAATTTTAAGATTCACAAAGAATGTGCAATCAAAGCCCCTGGTCCTTCCCTCACGTTTGCCCAGCAACCAAGCTGGAGAACCTTGGCCTGAGCAAATCCTTCTCAGGTGTGCTGGTTACAGCTGCCTGGATACAGCCACACTCTTTTGTACCTGAATAAGAACATTTAGTTGGTGTGTCTGTTCCTTTAGAGTTCTAGCACCACAGAGTGGGATCAGCCCTGTGCAGGTCTGCAACAACCAAAGACTGCTGACTTTTGATCTGAAAACCCCTGAAAGGCAGTCAGCTAAGTGCAGTTCTTCATAATGGCTCCAACATGGTATCATGCTTCAGGGCACACAGATGACCCTCCTACACCCTTAATCTCTGCCTGCCTTCATGACTCACTATGAGGAAGAATGGTTAGGACCCTGGAGCAAGGGTGGTCAGGTGGGTACAACTTGGGAACAGAAAGAACATAGCAGGGTCTGGCCTTGACCAATATCTTCTGATTGAAGTCCACAGTGAAAAGTCTGGATGCTTGAGAATAAGCATGGTATACCTCTGAATCTGAGGGCACAAGGCACCAGGGGAGCAGGTGCTGCCAACAGGGTGAGGAAGATATAATAATCTCCTTCAGCTTCCACTGTCAAATGACTCTACCATAACTTTAAGAGCTAAAGTTAATTATTCCTTAAGAAAACTGATTTTGACTGAAGATCCAAGATGGTGGTGGAGTAGGTAGATGTTATACTCACCTCCTCCCAGGACCAAATTGGAATTACAACTAAAATATTGAACAATCAACCTGACTAACCAACTGAAGACTAGCTGAGCAGAATTCTTATAATCAAGGATTATAGAGGAAGCCACACTGGGGTAGGTAGGAAGGGCAGAGACACGTGAAGGGCCAGCCCTGCATCCACTTATGGTGGTTGAGAATGTGACATTTCAGCTGGAAAGGTCCTCCCTTAAGAGTGAGATTGCCATGCTGGGCTCCTCAGCCCAGAGCACCAGAGCAAGGAGGAGGCACCCACATAGCATCTGACTGTGAAGCTCAGCGGGGATTCTGTCTGCCAGGGAGTCTGAGAGATAGGAGTCTGTTAGAAACCCAGGTGCCCTCCCATAAGGCCAATGCACAAAACTTCATTCTCAGCCACTTATCCTGGGCTTCTGAGAAGGGAGAGTGGCTTGTGATGAACTAGAGTTGTGTGAGGAGAGACTGGGTTGTGTGGCTCCAGAAAGAGAGCTGAAGAAATCACTACCAGGGTCCCCGTACTGAGTCCATTTCCTACACTGCCAAGAGAGCACTTCCCTCCATAGAGCATCAACCTGGGGGAATAAAAGAGCCCAACCCTCCTAACTCCCTCTCACCTTGCCCTGGAGAGCTCATGCCTTGCAGTGGACTTAGCTGCTTGGACCTATTTGGTAGAGGTGCAGACGAAGTCAGGGAATGTCAGAGACTGAGTGGTGGGCTCACAGGCCAGGGTCACTCACCCCACCTTCCTGGGAGGCTGGCAGGCACTGCCCCTCAAAGGGAGACCTACTATCCATACAATCCTGACTCCCAGCAGCTATCCTCTGCTGACCCAGAGCTCTTGAGGTGGTATGGCCAAAAAAGGGGCAGACTGTGTTCTGTGGTTCTACAGTAGGATCTATTTTTCTCTTGCAAGCCCAACTGGTACAGAGCCCTCTCTTATGGCCAATTCTTGATATGTTTGGGCTTGGTAAATGCTGCTGGACTCCCCCTGATGACTTCCTGAGACCCCACCACAACGGTTGGCCGGTACTCAGTGGGTGGAAGCTGGCCT